AAAATTTCTCATAGTTTTCTGTTGCATATACTGCGATTGTATGGAAACAGTGGTCATCCGGCATAACAAAAAATGCAAACTGTTTAATTCCTGCCAATTATTGGTCTCAGATATAATTCATAAGTCTATGAAAATGATCCTACTGGAATATAATTCCATTAATGTTCCCCCCTAAATACGATCAAGTCGAAAAAAATAGAAATATTTTCAGGAAAACGCGTTTTATTTATACAAATTACCAGTAATTTTCGCTGTAAAAGACCTTCTGCAACATAAACTAAAACAATTCCTTTGAAAATTATCCTAGTTAAATATATCCCACTAATGTTTTGTGTGAATCTGATATTTTCGAAATACGGAAATAATCAAAGAAATGTGTACTGTGAAACTGAACCTACTCAAATTTAGAATCATGTTCTCTAAAAACACTGACCCTTCAAAAGAAATCTGTGAAATTGATATAACTTAAACAAAATTCGAGGAATCTTATATTTTAATTTTTGATAAAAGTCAAGGAATATAATTTAAAAATCTGATTATTCCTAATATTAACAAAGTAATATATTATATAAACATGATCATTCCTAAACAAAATTCAAGATATATTCTCTGTAAATTCGATTTTCTGTAGCATAATTCAAAAATATTTTCTCCAAGATGAATCGTAAATAAATAAAATTTAAGGATTATTTTTCTCTAAGCTTATCGTTCCTTGATAAAATTCTAGTCACGTCGTTAAACCGACTCTTCAGCCACTCCTCTCTTGCTCTTCTTCTGTCGAATTTCTCAATTAAAATTAATTATGTAACGATATATGAGATATATGATTGCATTACCAAATTAATTTAACTTATAAATTTGTGTATAAGTTTTATGAACTTTTTTTTTTCATACCAAGTTTTCCGCGGGCTGGCAATAATGTGCAATACTTATATGATCAGTCACAAAACTCAAAGAATATAGACCTTCTGAAATAAAAATGTACACTAAAATTTTCAAAAGGATTATCCGAAATTTTGTTTTATAGTTTTTGAAGGAGGTTACCGTGAGAAATAAGATTGAGACAGTAAGTGCAGAATCCGCCTGCCGTATATCCCGCTCACATGAATTTGGTTTGAAACCGAGGTTAGGAATATTATTACGTACGAAATTATGCTTTTGAGGAATAACAAACTTTATAGACAGGCAAGAATATGTAAATTTCGAGATTTCAAAATGTTCGTACTTCTGGTGTTCTAAAAGTATTCCACGCGAATGCAAATGTAAAGGGCAGGCATTTCCTTCAAGTGCGAATAAGAAGCATTAATAAAATTTACATAATTTAATTTAAATTACACGCGATTTTAATTATCCATATGAAACTTCAATTTAAGTACTTAATGTCGTTTATAACGCATAAAAGTTTTCCTAAAAATCTGAAATTACGAAAAGAATTATTTATGTAACTTGCTTGTGCATAATTGTGTTCTTAATTTTTCCATTACCAACAATTTTAAATTTTCATCCCCATTAATTTAAATATGGCCTGGGATAGCTGAATAAGTATAGAGACGGGTTACGAGCTGGATGACCGGGGTTTGATTCCTGGCAGGGCAAGAAATATTTCTCTTCTTCTGAGTTTCCACACAGTATCTGGGGTCCACCCAGCCTCCTACCCATTGAATATCAGAGGCTCTTTCGCCGGGGTAAAGCGGCCGGGCTCTAAAGCTGAACACTCACCTCCCTCCAACTAGTGCCGAGACCAAGAAAGGGCAGTTATAACTCCACTTCCCCACGATGTAGTGCTTAATTAATTAAGCAGAAGGTCAACTTCACACTTTTTTTTTCTTTGGCACTACAGCCCCAGTGGGCCTAGGCCTACCTCCATGAACTTCTACGTTCACTTCGGCTTTTTTAGATCTTACACATTTGGTAGGACTCCTTGGGCGGGTGATCAGCTCGTCGCAAGGCCTCTACCTGTACACAAACACAGCAAAACGCAAACACATAAACTAAGCATCCATGCCTTAAGTGGGATTCGAACCCACGATCCCGGTTTCCAAGCGAGCGAAGACAGTACATGCCTTAGACCGCTAGGCTACCGTGACCGGCCATCTTCACCCTTAGCCTCTTATATTTGTAATAACAATAATTTCTGTGTGTTAAAATATCTGAACGACTTCATAAAATAAACATTGGTCAGACGCTGCAAATAAAACTTTTATTTCTTATTATTTTTACGAGTTTTATGGCGAGTTTAATCTTTTATGTAAAATATATAGGCTCATATCCAACGGGTACCAGGGTCACTTTCCGCGGTGGCAAAGCGTCCTAGGCGTGAAGCTGACACTCACCTCCAGTTAGTGCCGAGGTCAAGAAAACCTGGATATATTCCTCCACACTCCCATACGCCTTCATGATGTACAGTTCTTAGTTAAGCACAGGGACTATAGTACCTTGTATCCAATATTCTTCTTCGGTATTTCAACATAATGTCTCTGAAGCAGCTGGATTGTATGAAAAATTGGAATATTGGTCGCACAATTCCATTTCATATAATGTGCACGCAATAACATGTTCTCTTGATGAAACCACAGGCAAAAGTCGCACTGAATTACAACTCAAATATCATAAACGTTTGTTTAAATTAATTTAGCCTGCTCTCCAAGTTATGATCTTCTAAATTCTTATTTCAAATATCTAACACAGAAGTTAGTTGAGGCACAATGCTACAAGCCGGAAGGTCGCGGGTTCAAGTCTCGATGAGGTAATTGGATTTATTTCAATTTACCTAATCCTTCCAGCCGCACTATGGGCCTGGGGTTGACTCAGCCTGTAACAGAAATGAGTACCAGGAATTAATTAAATAATTTTCCTGGGGAGTAAAGCATGGCAGGCGCGTAAGGCTGTCGCCCTTACCGCCATCTGTGAGCCGATTGTCTAGAAAATGTGGGACCCTCAACCTCTCACAACTCTGTGAGCCTTCACGGCCTGTTACAAGGATAGCTTTACTTTTACTTACTTTTAACACAGAAATTTTTAAATATCTTTCAAGTAATTTTTTATTTGCCTTCAAAATTAACATGAGAATTGAAGAGTAAACTGCGGTTTGACATAGCAGTGACAGTAAATTATTAATTTAAGTACCTTTAAGAGTCTTCTTTAAAGTTATCTATGCATTTCAGAATAACTAAAATAATGAATTAACTTAAAATTTAATTATTTATTATTTTCCTTAAAATCCTTTTATATAGTAAATATTCTTAAAAATATATTTAAGCTTATGTAAATTTACTGAGCTACAAATATAGTTTTATAATTTTCCTGGGGAGTAAAGCGCGGCATGCGCGTAGGTCTGACAACCTTACCGCCTTCTTTGAGCCTATTGTCTAGATAATGCGGGAGCCTCGACGTCTCACAACCGTATGGACCTCCACGGCCTCTTACAGGGATAACTTTACTTTACTTTTACAAATATAGTTTTATTAATATTATATTTGAGGTTATCAAGGCGGAAATTCTGAAATGTAAAGTCCTTTGAGTTTTAATGACATGTAGTTCTCGAAAATCCCGATGTTTCGTAGAATATATCACTTCTCTCTTCAGGCTCGAAGAGAATGCAAAGTAAGAAACCAGGAAAAATCATGCTGTAGGCAGAGCTCTTTCCTGTGGATGTAGGTGGTATGTTCCTCTGAAACCTTTGGATTGCTCGAAACTACATCGCCCTATAACCTAGAAGAACCAACTCCTAAATATTACTTATTTCCAAAAACTTCTCCCATTTAAGGAGTTAACCAAGAGCGGATACGAACAGAATAATATGGCTCTGTAATTAATTATGTACTTATGAAATTTCTGGCGACATATATATATATATATATACACGTAGCTAACTATAATCATTGACTGTGAGTGAAAATTGTAATGGGTTACATTTATTATTCTCAATTAAAATTTATATTCAACTTAGTGCTGGAGCAGATATAACTCAGTCCGTATAGCGACTACGCTATGGTCTGGACGACCGAGAAGTCGGGGTTCGATTCTGGTAGGGGTAAGAGATATTTTCCTTGTAAATAACGTCCATAAAGGCTTTCGGCCCAACCAGTCTCCTGTCCAATTGCTACTGGAGCTGTGACCCCCGAGGATAAAGCGGTAGGAACGTGAAGCTGAGAATTCACCCTCATCTAGCACCGAGGATAAGAATGGTGGCTCCATACCTCTGCTTCCCCATACATGTTTATGGCGCGGTGTTTAATTAGGTCCAGGTATAACTTTGCATTTAGGTTGTAATTGTGTACGGTGATGGTTTATATATTAAATCAGAATTAATAACTATATTCATTAAATTCATTATTCCCTATTCAATATTCTAACTAATTCCAGGAAGCTGATTCCTTCTTGAGAAGACGCCAGTTGTGCAGCTACTCAAGAATTTCCCAAAATTTTATGGAGCCCGAAGGTTCATTACCGTGTTCACAAGAGCCCCCAACTGGTCCCTATTCTGAGCCAGATGAACTCAGTCCGTACCACCCCATTCCTATCAACCCCAGATCCACATTAATAATATCCACCTCCTACGTCTCTGTCTTCCTAGTTACCTCTTTCCTTCTAGCTTTCCCCACCAATATCCTTTATGCATTCCTCTTCCCGCCATTCGTGCTACATGCCCTGCCCACCTCATCCTCCTTAACTTGATCATTCTAATTATACTTGGCAAAGAGTACAAGTTATTAAGCTCCTCATTGTGCAATTTTCTGCAACCTCCTGTCACTTCATTTCTCTTCGGTCCAAATATTCTCCCCAGCACCCTGTTCTCAAACACTGTCAGTCTCTGTTCCTCCCTTAATGCCAGAGACAAAGTTTCACACCCATACAGAACAACAGGCAAAATTGTAGATTTATGTAGTCTAATATTTATGATTTTAGACAAGAGACGCGAAGAGGAAAGGTTCTGGACTAAATGGTATTGAAAAATAGGATGAGTCTGTAACGTATTGCTGTGTGTCTCTTTGTTTCAGTCGTGTTTCCTGCAAGAGTCCGCTGGAAGTTGTGCAGATGAACTCCGCTGGCAGGTTCAGTTGTACGATGAATGTACTTCGGCGGATGTTACGCGCGTCTCGACCAGAGGTGGCTTATGAGGTACTGAAATAAATTTCTTTTCTTACGTAGTAAAGATAAGCAGCGGCACGCACACAGGGAGCCTACACAGAATAACACCTTACAGTGCTGAAAACAAGAAGTAGCCGCTGCAGCACTACAGACATGGGGCGAGTAATCCTGAGAATTTTAATTTAAAATTTAAAATTTGAAAAAAAATTTAAAGTAGTTTTCAAAATTGGAACTGAAAATTTTAAATGTGCCAGTTCATGAATGTCAAAATTGACGTTTGTGGGTGACAAAAATGATGTACGAATCTGACAAATAGCAGCGAAGTAGATCCTGTTAGCCAAATGGGAAGACCTGTGTGTTTTTAAATTTTAAACTGGGTGCAGTGTAACAGCTACGTGAGTGTATACACCTGATGATGGCCGTTTGCGGCCGAAACATGTAGTGTAGAAAAAGGCAAAACGAAAGACCTACAATAAATTGTTGCACTTAGGACGGAGTTATATCATATATCGTATAGAGGGTAACAGGATGCTTAAATATAATATTAATATCTTGTGTTAGAAAGCAGTACGTGCTTAGGGTGTTTGAAAATATGGTGCTGAAGTGATTATCCTAACTTAAGGAGGATGGAAAAAAATGTAAAAAAAAAATCATAAATAAAATCCCCCGATATGTTGATACATTGGTCGACTAATAGAGGATTATTTGTGTGATTTGTAGCAATTTTGAAGGAGAAGAGAATTACATACAAAGATTTGGTTGGAAAAGCTCAAGGAATGGGACCACTTAAAAACTTTCGTGTAGGTGTGAGAATAATATGAAAATAGACCATAATGAAATAAGTTGGGGGAGCATTATTTTGGCTCAAACAGGGACCAATGGCGGATTGTTTTCAACATCGTAATAAGTATTCGAATTAAAAATTGCGGGAAACTTTATTAATATATGCCAGGTATTGGCCTCACAAATAGGAATCTCTTCATAGAAGTATTTAGACAAATAGACAGAGAGACAAGCTAGATAGATACATAGATAGATAAGATAGATAAATAGATAGACAGAGAGACAGACAGATATATAGAGAGGCAGACAGACAGACAGAGAGATAGATGATTAGTTAAGTAAGTAAGTAAGTAAGTAAAAAGTAAAGACAAAACGGAGTTTGATATTTGAATGAAACATAGATTACCTTCGAGAGGCAATTTTGGAAAATACTTGTATTGCCGTGTTTTAATATATTGTGACCAAACACGTGACAATATGTTGTATTTAAAAGTTACTTCAGCAATATAGAAGGAAAATTTAATCATCATTAATTTTATTCTTGCAATGAAAAATAATCACACATAAATGAATCCTGCAAGAATAATTTGTATTTTACAACTTATGTAGTCATCATCATCATCATCATGATCATCAGTAATCTGTCAGACGACAGGTCCACATTCTCTTCCAAAACAATTCCTCCACTTAATGCGATCTAGAGATTTCTCCTTCAAATGACAGTATCCTCTTCTGTCCCCAAGGTCATCCAGCATCTTCTTACGTCTTCTTCCTCGTCTTATTGTCACTTCTATCCGCCCCTCTAACTTTCCTTCAGTAACTTCTTTTAGAAGGCAGTTTCTGCGTAAAACATGACCAATCCAATTAGCCTTCCGTTTTCTTATATCGTGTAGGATATTCCTCTGCTCACTGACTCTAATTAACACTTCCTCATTTCTCACATAATCGGTCCAACTGATCTTCTCCATCCTTCTCCAACACCACATTTCGAAACTTTCCAGATGTTTCTGATCTACTGCCCTAAGTGTCCATGTTTCAGCCCCATACAGAGCTATGCTCCAAATGTAGTATTTCATTAGCAACTTATGTAGTATATGAGACATATGGATGGGAACTTGTTTGGAAGTTTTCTCGAACTGGAGGAATACTGTCACGATTTAGAGCGTGATTTTAGACGGGTATGAATTATTGAATGGATTTATTAACTACTTATACACAGGACTCGGAACTCTAAGCAATTACAGCGCTGCCGCTACCTCCACAATTTACAAGTTACTGCACCATAAGTCTTCTCCAGCCTGCAGTGTCTTCTCTAGTCGTTGTGTGGTAACAGCTCTCAACAATTGAAATTCTTCAGCTCAGGTCATTTCTTCACTGATTTTCGTGCAGAACTCTCAACGAACTCCCAGGTTGGTGGCCATTTCACACCGACCTCCTATTCTTCTCTTCTCAGGATGACTTTCAACTAACTGGGTCACCCCAATTGTCTTCAAAATAGCTCCACGACACCGACCATTTAGAAAACACCCCTGGTTCCATAGTTGTATTCCAACTGTTGCAGCTGCCTAGCAGCGGATTGCATAACAGCCTTTCCAATAGTAACTCTCTTGTTGCGGAGGCGTGTTTGTTTCAAGGTCTTTGCCTAACAACGGGTCTATGCGCTACAATATATAAATTTGAGTTGTCTTGCAGTAATTCTCTCATTGTAACTTTTAGTCTGGCATATGCATATTTCGTATATGTAATATTATAAATAAAAATGTTCTATTATTGAAATTAAATATACTTGTTTTACCATTATTTTCCAATATGATCTTTTGAAATAGGCACTCAAAATATTCTATATTGTGTAAATTTTGAGGATTTTGAAAGGGTTAATTCAATTTACATTATATTTAAAATGGTAAAATTTACTTGAAAGTCGAACCGTATCCTGGAATGGATTGTGTTCGAAGTTCGGAGTACCACGGTACTTGTTTCCTAGAAACTAAAACCTAGTCACAAGTAGCTTCTTCAATTTCAAGGTACAAGCAGCGACAGAAATATTAGGCTCAAGGCAGTCACATAACGAAACAAACTGTTAAATGAGAAGGGAGGAATGTGCTTCATTCATTCATTTGTAATCTATCAAGACGACAGGTCCACAGTCTCTTCCAAAACAGTTCCTCCACTTGATGCGATCTAGAACTTTCTCCTTCAAATGAAAATATCCTCTTCTGTCCCCAAGGTCATCCAGCATCTTCTTACGTCTTCTTCCTCGTCTTCTGGTCACTTCTATCCGCCCCTCTATCTTTCCTTCAATAACTTCTTTTAGAAGGCAGTTACCGCGTAAGATATGACCAATCCAATTAGCCTTCCGTTTTCTTATTTCGTGTAGGATATTCCTCTGCTCACTGACTCTAATTAACACTTCTTCATTTCTCACATAATCGGTTCAACTGATCTTCTCCATCCTTCTCCAATACCACATTTCGAAGCTTTCCAAGTGTTTCTGGTAATAAAAACATGGCTGAGAGCTCCCAAACAAATTAAAACAAATCAATCTTCGAAGTTTCGGTCTTACGATCCGCTTAAATTTGATATGCTGAATATTCTGCTTCTTTTGTGACCGTAAATATAACACAAATTTTTTCACGACTCTTAATTGCTGCAGAAATGAAGTAAACTGCTGTTATAATAAAAAAGCATAAGAATCTTTTAAATGTCCGCATATCATGAAGGGAAATGTGTTTCTGTGTTTCAGACAATATATTTTGCCAGGAATGCCTAGGGTAAGGTGTGGACAGTTATATCAATTTTTTTTTATATTTTCTCTAGAAATCAGTTTTGTTAGATGTGAAAACTAGAACTGAACAAAAAATTATTGGAAGAACTAACCGTCTCTTCTTAAGCGGCCTCCGTAGTCTAGAGGTAACGTTCCCACCTCATGACTCGTGGTACGCGGGTTCAAATACCCGGCGGAGGTCGTCGAATTATTAAGGGCGGAAAAATTCAGGGAACAAGTCCTCCGGGAGGGCCTTTAAGCTGTGTGTCCCGTGTCGTAACTTTACGGCACGTAAAAGAATCTCATATCTCCTAAGGAGATCACTGAGTCAAATTCCAGGACGTTTCCCGCCCGACAATAGTCTCTAAGGCCTCTGATAGATGGGGAAGCATTATAGACACCGCTAAGCAAGTGGCCCGAACTCGCTTGCTCGGCGAGACTGATGGTACGCACCATTTATCGGTAGGGTATAGAGACTAGTAGAATATCATAGAGGAAAGCACAATGGACCACTAGAGGTCTAAGTGCATGAGGAAACCCACCCTCTCCAATAACTAACTAACTAACCGTCTCTTTCCATTTGATGCTATACAGATGCTATACAGATGCTATACGTGTATTTGTTTTTACGGTGAAGTTTTCACCGAACCGTTGCGTATCTGCGTTAGGGATGGATTTATGAAATACGCCGTTGAGATGGGCTCAGGTAGTATGGCTTATATACTTAGTTTCATAAAGACTGGTTCAGCTATTCAAAAGTTGGTAAGAGGTATATACAGACACACAGACCTAATTACGACCTCATAGGCCTATTTTTCAAAATAAAGAAAGTAGGCTAAAAAGGAATATTTAAATTCAGTGACTCTAGTCCGCAAGCAAACTTAACAGACCGAGCGACCGTCGCTTGTCGGCGAAGTTAGTGCAAACTTAACGGCCGTGGGGATTCGTTGCGCTAACCACGCGACACCCTCTATCTGCTAAAGTTGACAATAAAGAAGAATATTTAGAGATTTCAGATAATTTACATAAAGTAAAACATAGTAAATATCTGAGGTATTACATTATAATTTTAAATGTTGTGAGACTCTAAATTTGGCCAAATTCATGTTAATTGGCAAGAGTATTTGGATTAATTTTTCTTTCTGAAACTCTGATTTCACAATTTTATAATATATCAGGGATCATTTCCTGCACATTCCCACCGCTTCCGCGTTATACATCCTGTACAGTGTGAACTGTTTTTTTTTCTTCATTTCAAACGCAATTTCAGAACACATCGATGTCATCCGACAATTTTCACGAAAATTTGACGAACTTTTTCAGTATTTTCTTCAGTTCTGCTCGTATATTCTCAATTATGACAAATCCATTAAACAACAAATTAAAATGCACAAATAATATGTTTCTGTACATTATTATTATTTGTTTGTTGGTTTGCTTTTCTGCATTAATGTGTTATTTCCTCCAGTGCTTGCCTGTAACT